ATCCAAGTGCACCGCTCCCACGACATCCGACGCCGACATACAACACATTGTAGAACAGGCCTAATGGCTCCTACACACAGGACGCGATAATGCTTGCCGCGCGGCGAAAGTTCGCACGATAGCCAATCAATATGCTGCTTTCCATAATAATCTTTTCGCTCTTACGGAAAAGCAACATATTGATTGGCTGTCGCGCGGACTTCCTCCGCACGGCAAGCATTACCGTGTCCTGTGTGCAGAGCCATAATAGCATATTCGATTGGCTCTGAGTTAACCCACTCTGGTTATTCAGTCTACGTTTATTGGTCAAACAAATACTTATAAATTTTATGATTGACTAGTAGAGTCTTATGGCGTCATTAATCGCTCTCGGTGTGATTAACCCAGAGCCAGTCGAACACGCTATATATCTGTTTAAGGCCGATATTCATAGTCCGATCTTATATTTAAGATCATCTTAAATACTATCTTAAGATGTCATGAACCAATCACAGAGCCGTATTCGTATCTTAAAACATTACTTAAGACGGTCTTGAAATAAGATTCGACTATGAATATCGGCTTAAGAGTCGTTCTACATTAGTTGCAAATCGTAAGGTCACAAGAAAATTGATCAATCACAGTTAATCGTTCTCCTTGCGATCGAAGAAAAATTTACTGTGATTAATCAATTTTCCTGCGAACTTGAGATTTATAACTAATGTAGAATCGGCCTTATGCAGGATTCACACCGTGTCCAACGTCCGACGTACGACGTCCAATATCCAATAAAAGAATAGCTTTCCAATGCAGAATTAAATTCTCTATTAGAAAGTTGTTCTCCTATTGGATATCGAACGTCATACGTCGGACGTCGGATGCGGTGTGAATCTTGCATTACAATACATTGGAATCGGATAAATCCTTTATTAGATCTGTTCTATAATATTGTTATTGTAGATTCTTATATATATCGGGTGCTTTCCAATTACTTAACACATCTTGACACATATGTACACAAAAATGCACAAAGTGTGACGTTGTGCACGATTCAATTGGAACAAAGTGTGTACTAATCCCTTATAGAAATATCATACTAAGAATCATTGATAATTATCCAGTATTTTTAATACTAAAAATAAATAATTATCAATGATTCTTAGTATGATATTTCTATAAGGGATGTATATGTATGTCGGATAGGATTAGGATTATTTTTCAACTATGCTTATATTTTGGTATTTTTTAATAATAAGTAATAAAATCTAAATAATAAAAAAGATATTATCTATTTCACGTCGCAAATGCCAGTCTCTTTCCAAGCCGCTACGCTTATTAACTTGAATTTTCACTAGAAAATATTAGTTTACACAGCCAACTAGTAGTCCTCGAGTTGAGTACGGATGTGTAGTGTTGTGTCGACGATTATGACAATTAGAATGCAACTTGTGTCGCCGTATGCATGAAAGTGTCTAGGTATATTGCAATTTGAAAGCACCCATCGTTGTCGGCATCCCAGTACTTTGCTTTATCTAGTGAATTACTAGAACTAGATCTAACTAATCATTACATTTCGTATCCGATGAGACTGTGTACAATCGGGTTTCACCCACATAGGACGCGTCAATGTTATAAAAGTTGGCTAGAAACTGCCTCGATAGCCAATTAACATTTTTCCAAAAAAAGTAGAAGTTTATTATAGCAAACCACATTGATTGGCTATCACCGTATTGTGTAACCAATTTACGACGCGCGACAAGCGTTGCTGTGTTTTATGTGCAAGAGACATTATTCTGAAGGTCGATATCTCAAAACCCAATGAAAATTATTAATGTAAGCAAATTTGCTAGAATATGTATAATTTTATTGGTCGACACTTAATAACTTTACTCACTTTTTTAATTTTCGCTATGTTTTGAAATACACAATGGCTGCGTTCAGCAGAGAAAGCTGCTTTGCAACTGTTATAAAATTCGTGAATCTGATTGGAGTATGCTCTTAATTTTGGTTGAATCCAAGAGCATGTACCAATCAGATTCACGAATTTTACAACAGTTGCAAAGCAGCTTTCTCTCCTGAACGCAGCCATTCTACCCTCTGGGAGTTTATTACGGTTTTGTGTGAAAAGTGAAAATGCGAAAAGTGGACGAATTTACTAGAATATTTATAATTTCATTGGTCAACATCTAGTGAATTCGCTCACTTTTCGCATTTTTACTTCTTACACAGAACCATAATAAGCTCCCTGGTTTGGAGAATATTTAACGATTTTTTAATCGATTTTCTTCAGTCCGATTTTTTAGCAAATCGATTTTAGTTGGTTCGATACAAAATCGATTCAAAAATCGATTTTTCAACTGACGATTTCCTATCCCTACTTCTTACGGTCCAAAAATCAACAACTGTGATTGATCAATTTGCTTACTGCTAACGTCTTACTGCTTAAGTTTTCTTGTGTGCTACGGCCCTAACAGATGTCTTGCCTAAACTCTATATTTTCCCTATATTTTTCTTAAAGTTGGTAATTTTGGGGTATCGACTGAATAATCCCTGGAACCAATAATGAGCACTGATACAGTCCGTAGATTGACATATTCTATTGGACGGAAATACATAAAATGTCTTTGATCTGTTACGTTAATAGATCTAGAAAAAAGAAAAAGTATGATCATTGATCTTCCTATTGACTTTTCATTGATTGGATTTTGTTTAATAAGAAAGGGAATAGTAACATATTTTTACAAATTGAAAACTTCCTCAACATGTTACAATATAAGTTACAATATAATATCGTTACACTATAGGTATGTAACATTGTATGTAATCATATGTTAAACACCAATATATCAACTCATGCATAAATAAAATTAATATTATTTATAATTATATTGCTCAATGCTCAATATTAATTCCAGGGATTAAACATAAAAACCCCAACACCATTACCAAATAATTATATTGCGGTATGTTGAAAAAAGTTAGATGATATCGATAATATCGATATCACTAATATCGATACATTCCACCTGATATTTTTTATATATCGATACTTTTATTTACGATCATTTCGATACGAAATATCGATACTTTCTACTGTATCGCCTATCCCTAGGGTGCGTTCGAAAACACTGAAAGTCCACGACGGAAAGTGGCTGTGGTGGATGGGCTTGGTGGGGTTAGTGGAGTTGGTATCGAGAGGAGTTTTCGAACAGCCATGGAAGAATGCTCAATGTGACATACTACATGTTGTGCCTACATATGTTGTACAAAATGATCGAAAGCGTCTTTCGACATTAGCTATAATTGCTTCTCAGCAAAATAATAATAAATTAATAAATTTAGTAATTAATTAATTAATTAATTTAGTAATTATTAATTTATAATTTAGTTATCTGGAAAGTTAATTGATTATATATTCCTCGGTCCGAGAACTCGGATCGATTTCTAGCATCGTGGGCACCAGGCCTAAGGAAATTTATAAACTTATTTATTACTCCTTACCTTTAACATCGTATATATAGACATTTCCCTTGTCATCCTTTTGTATATTTTTTTTAATATCCATGCATAAAATATGACGACCCGGGATCAAATTTTCCATTTTTTTTCACAAATTGTTACTGATTCGTGACTTTTAACGTGCCTCGTATCTCGTAAGAAAATTTCAGAACCTATAAAATACAAAAAGCTTAATAAGCTTTATTTATATTTAAAGACAATATTCTGACAATATACATCACTATAGAAATAAACCTAAACCTGGCTAACCTACACTGCTGTATTTAAATTTTTTATCTTACCGTGATGGCTAATGGTTGTACGAATGTTTCGAAGAACAAAAAACCATAAATAATTTAGTAATTTCATACTGTATTGCACTCTTTGCGCACTCTCCACCATCTCCACCGATTCACACCGCGCAAAAGAGAGTGGAGAAAAGTCACACGAGTGGTCCACGGAGTACGGTTTTCGAACGGCCATGGTCGCATGGTCAGTGTGCTCACTAGGGGTTTTCGAACGATCTGAGTGTGACAAAATACACACGGGTGATGTTTTCGAACGCACCCCTACTGTGCAATATTGTTAGCGGTTAAAAAATTTTAATTATAAACAAAATTTATTATATCTTATGTTATTCCTGCTTGTGTAATATTTTATTACTTCATTATTTCGTTACACATATACAAAAACACTAATGTATCAATATTTACAAGAGCATTATTTCCTTCAATAATAATGTTTCTTTCTTTCTTCATACTTTTCTTTTTTCTTCTTCAGATCTCTTTTGCTTACAATATTTTCGTTATTAACTGAATTTTATATAATCTTTAATTTTAACTAATCCAGCTTTATCACATTTTATTACTACTTATATTAAACTATTTTACTACTTTATTACTTACTTTATTACTACTCATATTAAAATATCTTTTTATGCTCAAGAACATACTTACAAGAACATTCACAGGAGCATTTCTACAATGATACAATTAATGGATGAAAGTTTTCCTGATGTGACTTTACAATAAAGAAAAATAAAAACACAAATCTTATTTTGTATTTATAATATATATGTACTTTCTCCCTCTCTCTCTCTCTCTCTCTCTCTCATATATATATATATATATATATATATATATATTTTTTTTTTTTTTTTTAACTATTATAATAAATATATTAATATATTTTTACGTCAGAATATTATTTCACTAAAGCCTGGTTGCACCAACATTATTTTGGCTTTAAGTGAAACCTAAATATATATCTATCTTTATCTTCCTTTCTGAATAAATAAAAACAGACTTATATTTAAGTCTCACTTAAAATAAAAATAACGTTGGTGCAACCGGGCCTAAAAAGCTTAAGAAAATAAAAATCCAATTCTGGAATAAATGATTTTCATTACATGTATTCGTGTATTAACTGTCAAGCTAACATAAGACTAAGAGCTATTTCTTTTAATTCTTCAAAGATCTGGTATCTTTTTCAGACTCACCCTATATATTGTGAAAAATTAGTAGCAATAGTCTATAAAATGTTAGTAAGACAGAGAGGAAGATACCACTTGGATGTGGCCTTTGTCTTACAGAACGGTTCGGCCCCCACTACGGCATTGGTCCTTCCAGTATGTTATATAGTTCAATGGGCTGAGGGAAAAAATTGATTAATCAATAAGACAATGGGAGGAGATAAACATATACTTTTATAAAAAATAAATTTAATTAGAAAGATAAGACAATTAAAAATAACTTTATTAAAAACACTGCTTTATAAAAAATTAAAATAATTTATAAGCCTGTTAAAATGCTAATTGTAATAAGAATTTCAAAAATAATTTTTCTTCCTGTAGTATCTTGTTACAAATCATAAAAAATAAAAATTTGAATTTCCTATAGTTCAGTAGTCTAATATATCTAATAACTTAAAAAGTTAATTCACTTAAAAATAAACTCATAAAAGTTAGTTTAAAATATAAACTCATGTATTTCATATGCATATTCAATATTATATGTTATGTATTTTACACAATATTATTACTAAATATCAAAATAAAAGAAAAATAAAATGTTACTTGCATATAGTTTTACTTAATTGAGATTTTCGTAATACAATAAGGTTTTTCCCTGACAATGCAAAATCATCAAACTCTTTTTCAATAGCTAAAGCATCCTCTGCATTCATAAAATAAACAGAACAATATCGTATGTCAGTTTTAAAAATTGTCTTCACGAGCGTTGCCGAAATTGGATTACGTTTCTCAAATAAATGCAAAATATAATGTACACCATAGTTCACGTGAATGTTAGCAACTATCACTTCTTGCAGTATAACTACATATTTATGTGAAGTATTATTAACAGAATTTAGTGAGTGATCTATTTTAAAAATATCTGATCTTTTTGACTTTATTTCTAGATCAGAAATTAATGATGGTATTTTGCTACCATTAAGTGTATCTTTATCCTGTATAGAATATTTTACGTCAGATTTTGATGGCTCATGAAATTCGATCTCTTGTTGCTTTCTTATTTGGTTATAAGGCAATATTTTGTTGTTACAATTTTGTTGTTTTCGGTATTGCAAAATATTTTTCTCATCCACTACTAATGAATTAAATTTGTTAGAATTAATTGCATTCATATAAGATTTATAGTTGTGCTTTGGTCTTGAAAAACTAGAATCTGAAAAATTGTCAGTACAGTCAGAATTTCTTTTATGAGAAGTTGGCTTCTCTTCATATGTAAAGTTTTTATTAATGTAGGTGTTGTTTGAATGATGCTTATCAACACATGTTTCTTGAAGTGAATTATCCATTCTGTCTGCCTCCCATTCATTCGAACTCTGTTGAATTTTTTGTTTGCCAATTTTATCCTTCTGTGGTAATATACGTATATCATTACTTTTCTGTAAGCTTTCCAAACAGTATAATGTTTCCTGTAGCATTTTATATTTTATGAATATAAGTCCATTGATGTTATCTCCCTTCCAAGTCACACTTAAAACATTTCCATAAGGAGAAAACATGTTATGTATTTCTTCTTTACTGAATCCCTTCTTATTAGGGAAATGTATGCTGTATGTTCCATCTGGCATTCTTTTGTAATATTTCTCATAATCCATTATAATATTCTAAAGATTACTAGTAATCTTTGTAATATATTATATCCTTTGTATTAATTTCTCTCCAAAATTTTAGATACTTTAATATCTAAAAATATTGTTGCAACTAAAAATATATAAATAGTTAATGACAAATAAAATATTATGTATAAAATATTGCTTTAAATAATGTTTCCAGTTTTGTAGTTAATTACTAAGGTTCTTATAATCTTAGCTTCTGTTGTGTGGTAGTTTACATCTAAAAATATTCCAATAAAATTTGGTAAAAAAATTATTTTCTAATTATAATGCGAAGAATATATTCTATTTCCTATCTCACCTTGTCGAAAATAAACAACATTACTTATTTAATACTATCAATATTTGTTTGTTTAAATCCTTTCAATCTTAAGAATCTAAAATTGACTTACACGTGCTATAGCTGTTTCAATATTTACTGCCAATACTGAAAATTTATACTACAGGACCATCTCTCTTCAAAGCTTGCAAAATTGATATTGCACACACTGAAATGTAAATAAACTGGAACGAGCGCTAGAAATCAGATGTAAATATAAAGGTATACCAATCCCGTGGATGCGCAGTCGGCCAAAATAATAGCCAATCAGAAATGGTCAGAAATGTTAGGGTGCGTTCAGATGAAAAAAGAAATAGCGTAATAGCTCCTGCACACAGGACGCGGTAATGCTTGCTGCGCGGTGGAAGTCCGCGCGACAGCCAATCAATATGTTGTTTTTCCGTAAGAACTGGAAGGTTATTACGGAAAGCAGCATATTGATTGGCTGTCACGCAAACTTTTGCCACATGTCAAACATTACCGCGTCCTGTGTGCAGGAGCCATAACAGAACAATTAAGGAAAAGAGATATAGTGGGGGTCAGCCAATCAGAGTAATTCCGTTTTTATTCCGTTCTGTTGTTTGATAAATAGGTTTCACGTGGCACAGAACTGTTACGGAACGGAACAAAAACGGAAAACATTCTAATGGCTCCTGCACACAGAACGCGGTAATCCTTGCCGCGCGGCAGAAATTCGTGTGACAGCCAATCAATATGCTGGTTTCTGTAATAAACTTTTAGTTCTTACGGAAAAACAACTTATTGATTGGCTGTTGCGCGAATTTCTGCCGCACGGCAAGTATTACCGTGTCTTATGTGCAGAAGCCAAAACCTACCAACATCGAGAATTGTAAAATTTTCGATGTTAATAAGTTAGAATGTTTTCCGTTTTGTTCCGTTCCGTAAAAGTTCTGTGCCATGTAAAATCTACCTATTAAACAACAGAACGGAATAAAAACGGAATTACTCTGATTGGCTGACTCTCACCATATCTATTTTCCGTAAAGCTAGCCACACACACTTTTCGTAACAGTAACCGTAATGGCTCTTGCACACAGGACGCGGTAATGCTTGCCGCGCGGCGGAAGTCCGCGCGACAGCCAATCAATATGTTGTTTTTCTGTAAGAGCTAGAAGGTTATGAAAGATTATTACGAAGAAGCTAGAAGGTTATGAAAAAGACTATAAAAGTGACATTAAGTTTTATCTTATGCAGAAATAACTAAATTTTAATCGGTTGAAATCGGTTGAAAGTTATTTCTGCATAAGATGATAAGAAACTTGATGTTACTTTTATAGTCTTTTGGAATATATAAATCTATAGCAATATTCTAATTGGTTCTTCAGCTTAAGTTTACGTATTATGGTTACGGTTACGGCAATTTGTGTGCAAAGGCCCTAAGAATTGACCAATCACACTGAGAATCGTCGAACCATAAGGTCGCCATTTTGATGATTACTCGATCGTAATTGGTCAATTCTTACGATACGTCTTACGTTACGATTACGGCAATTTGTGTGTGGAGGCCCTTCAAACGTTGTACAATACGTCGTATGTTGTTGTCGGACGTCGAACGTAATCGATGGTCCAATAAGGAGAACTTGTCTCGAAAAACAAATCCTCTGATTGGACCATTGGCTGCACTCCGACATACGACAACGACATACGACATATTATAGAACAGGCCTTAAGCTGACTACACACACTTTCCGTAACAGTAACCGTAAGACGCACGTAAGAATTGACCAATTATGTTAAGAATCATCGAATTGTAAAATCTCCATTTTTATAAATATTCGATCGTAATTGATCAATTCTTACGTTACGTCTTATGGCTGCACACAGGACGCTGTAATGCTTGCCGCGTGGCGGAAATTCACGCGATAGCCAATCAATATACTGCTTTCCGTAATAACTTTCTAGCTCTTACGGAAAAACAACATATTGATTGACTATCGCGCGGACTGCTGTCGCGCGGCAAGCATTACCGCGTCCTGTGTGCAGGAGCTATTACGGTTACTGTTACGGAAAATGTATGTGGCCAGCTTTAGGCTGGTTCTACAATACGTCGTATGTCGCTGTCGGACGTCGGAACGCAGTCGATGAGCCAATCAGAGGGTTTGTTTTTCGAGACAAGTTCTCTTGATTGGACCATTAATTGCATTCCGACGTCCGACTCCGACATACAACGTATTGTAGAACAGACTTTAGGGGCGCCGCACATGAATTGATATAACCGTAACGTAAGACGTACCGTAAGAATTTACCAATCACTTTGAGTATCGTCGACCCGTAAGGTCGCCACTTTTGTAAATACTCGATTGTAATTGGTCCATTTTTACGATACATCTTACGTTTATGGCTTGGTTTATATTGTGCACTTGATACGCGTATTAAATAGTAACTTTCTATTAGATAATCTTAATATCGACGATATATATAAATAACGGTATTTTAAGCTGGTATAATACTCATCAACAAAACATATTGTATTGATTGAATACGTTACCGTTGATATGCATTGTCGATATTAAGATTATCTAATAGAAAGTTACTACTTAGTACGCGTATTAAATGCACGATGTAAACCAAGCCATTGTTATGTCAATTCGTGTGCGACGTCCCATACGCCCATTCTATAATACGCTGTAAGCCGGAACCGGATGTCGCAAATCGCTTGTCGAATGTCGTATGTCGGATTTGAATACGACTTACTATTCTACAATTGAGTCGGAATAGATGTAAGCAATGGATATTAAAGCATTAAGTGTTTATTTAAATTTATTTTTAATTTGGACGCAAATTATAAGATTATTATCATTAAAGAAACGTAAAAGAAGAATAACAAGAAGATGGTAGGTTAAATCTCATATTGGTGTAAATATGAGACAAAATTTTGGTGCTCATCGAAGTTATTTATATATTTTAACATTTATATATTTTATTAATTTTCACATTGCGTTTATCATCCAGATAGCACGATGAATTCTTTAAGTGTTTCTAAACTTTTCTCCTTTCTTGAATTGTACTTCTTTAGGAATTCGTGGAAAAATACTATGGCCGGTATTCATAGTCAAATCTTATTTCAAGACCGTCTTAAGTAATGTCTTAAGATGCGAATATGGCTCTATGATTGGTTCATGACATCTTAAGATAGTACTTAAGATGATCTTAAATATAAGATCGGACTATGAATACCGATCTATAAGATTTAGTTATATGCACCATGACTGGAGTTCCTCAGAATTTCTTATGCTCTTGCACACAGGAGTGCGTTCGAAAACATCACCCGTGTGTATTTTGTCACACTCAGATCGTTCGAAAATCCCTAATGGGCACACTGACTATGTGACCATGGCCGTTCGAAAACCGTACTCCGTGGACCACTCGTGTGACTTTTCTCCACTCTCTTTTGCGCGGTGTGAATCGGTGGAGATGGTGGAGAGTGCGCAAAGAGTGCAATACAGTATGAAATTACTAAATTATTTATGGTTTTTTGTTCTTCGAAACATTCGTACAACCATTAGCCATCACGGTAAGATAAAAAATTTAAATACAGCAGTGTAGGTTAGCCAGGTTTAGGTTTATTTCTATAGTGATGTATATTGTCAGAATATTGTCTTTAAATATAAATAAAGCTTATTAAGCTTTTTGTATTTTATAGGTTCTGAAATTTTCTTACGAGATACGAGGCACGTTAAAAGTCACGAATCAGTAACAATTTGTGAAAAAAAATGGAAAATTTAATCCCGGGTCGTCATATTTTATGCATGGATATTAAAAAAAATATACAAAAGGATGACAAGGGAAATGTCTATATATACGATGTTAAAGGTAAGGAGTAATAAATAAGTTTATAAATTTCCTTAGGCCTGGTGCCCACGATGCTAGAAATCGATCCGAGTTCTCGGACCGAGGAATATATAATCAATTAACTTTCCAGATAACTAAATTATAAATTAATAATTACTAAATTAATTAATTAATTAATTACTAAATTTATTAATTTATTATTATTTTGCTGAGAAGCAATTATAGCTAATGTCGAAATACGCTTTCGATCATTTTGTACAACATATGTAGGCACAACACACATGTAGTATGTCACATTGAGCATTCTTCCATGGCTGTTCGAAAACTCCTCTCGATACCAACTCCACTAACCCCACCAAGCCCATCCACCACAGCCACTTTCCGTCGTGGACTTTCAGTTTTCGAACGCACCCCAGGACGCTGTAATGCTTACCGCGCGGCAGAAGTTCGTGCGACAGCCAATCAATATGCTGCTTTCCGTAATAACCTTCTAGCTCTTACGGAAAAACAACATATTGATTGGCACACATATTGGTCGGACTTTCGCCGCGCGAAGCATTACTGCGTCCTGTGTGTAGGAGCCATTAGAGTATTCATATAGTTATACTATATGAACATAGATATATACTTTATGAATTCAAGAAGAATAATGCTTATACATAGAAAGAAAAATACAAACCCACTAACAGTAGTATAATATCAATGTTATAATTTCCTATTCAATAATATAAATGCAACATAGTGCATGTTAGTTATATTCTTAAGTAGGAAATTATAACATTGATGTTATGTTACTGACATTGTTTGCTGGAAGGATAGCCAATAAACATTAACTTAGTTGTAACGTTACATCAATATTATAATTCTCGCTCAACAATATAACTATTACATACAACATATCCCAGCAAACAATTTGGTACCAAATTGTCGCCAAATTGACACCAAAT